TGAAGTGTTAGAAAATGAAGCCTGGCAATTGTTCTTCCAGTTTTTTCTGTAAATGGTGGTGTACAAACCCACCTTCTAATGTGCTTGTAAATAGGAAATTACATCCAGAGCCTTTTTATCAGCTCTCAGCCTATCAACAGGTTGTGTGTTCATCAGTAAACTCCCAAGCTCAGTGTGCAATTCCATACAACTCTGGCTCCCTTTGGCAAAACCTGCCAAATGCATTCCATGGAGGAGTTGTTGGAGTCTGCAGTCATAGTGGTCTGTCTTCAGGAATATTTCTGGTGCCCCTCTGTGTTTTAATCTTGCACCTATTTAAGTCATGAATTTTCTGTTGCCAAGATCATTATTGTAACTCTGCCAGTTACAGGAAGCAAACAGAGCTCCCAAGCTGGTCATTCCAGGAAAGCAGGTTTTTAGAGAAGGCATTTCACTATGTTTAATGAAGGTGATTAATTTTCTCTACAGAAACATTATCAGAAGGCCTGGGATGAAGCCAAAGCAAAAAGCTATGACCTGAGAGCTGATGCCATTCCCATCAAACAAGCCAAGGCCTCCAGAGACATTGCCAGTGAGGTACAGCCTTCTCTTCGTGTGGTGCTTGTGTGTCTGCAGAACCAAGTGAAGCTCAGGCTGGCAGCCCAGGACAGCTGGAAGCCTTTTGTCTGGTTGTGTCCAGGTGAGCAACACACCTTCTGTTCTCTCTGCTCTTGCAGTACAAGTACAAAGAAACCCACGAGAAGCAGAAAGGCCACTACATCGGGTGCCCCAGCGCCAAGGAGGACCCCAAGCTGGCGTGGGCCGCGCGCGCCATGGCCCTGCAGAACGACCGCCTCTACAAGAAGGCCTACAATGATTCCAAGACCCAGATCCACATCCCTGTGGATGCCCTGTCAGTGCAGGCAGCCAAGGAGTGCCAGACCCTGGTCAGTGACGTTGACTACAGGCAGTACCTGCACCAGTGGACCTGCCTTCCTGACCAGAATGATGTGATCCACGCGCGGCAGGCCTACGACCTCCAGAGCGACGTGAGTCCCCATAGAGATGTGCAGTTGTACTCTTACTATTTAATAGATAATAGCTTTATTCTGATTGTTCAATGCTATACAGTCACAGGTTAATAGTTAGACTGTTTTCTTCAATTTTTTTGTGACTGCTATTACATGATTTTTTGCACTCTTAAAAGGCACTGGTTTTATCTCTAAATTTTATAAAGCTTTAGTTGATAATGTGTCGCATAATGCTTTTGGACAGGTGTGATTTGGAGAGGCTGAAGGATTTGTCTTTCTTGCTTTGATGGGACTTAGGAATAACTGCTGTTTGCTACCTCGGAATCAGGTGGCTTTTGTTACTTCAGTTTGCTTGAGTCAGCTTGGGAATTTGTTAAATTGGAAGAAAACTCCGTGAGGTAGCTAGTTAGAGGTTTTAGTGGCTGATTGCAAAGCAGGAGGAGTCAGAGTAGCTGATTTCCTGACCTGGCTTTGCTGCTTATCAGTTCCTCTTCCACTGTTTCAATTACAAGCTTTGGAGATGGGATTCCTGTTCCATGTTTTTTGTCAGTTTTCCTGGTAGGCAGCTTGGGGTTTTTTCAGGACTTGTAAACCATTGGAATGACTAGCAGAGTAAGTGTTTTGGAGGGGACAGGAAGACTCTTCTAAGCTTTTAACATTCATCATCATTAACTGCAACTCCTGTCAGTTGTTTCTTCTTACAAGGTTTAGAATATGTTGTTTAAGACCTGAACTACTTAATTTAAATTAATTTTAGATTTAACTTTACTTATGACACTGAACATCTCATATATAAAAAAGATTCATCAGACTCTAGTTAGGTTTATAAAACACAACCTGCTTTGCATGGCTTAAAATAATTAAGATAATAAATTTAAACAATGTTTTCCTTTTCTGATTGTCTCACCCAGGCTGTGTACAAGTCAGACCTAGAGTGGCTCCGTGGAATTGGCTGGTTGCCCAACGATTCTCCAGAAATTAAGAGGGTGAAGAATGCCCAGGATCTCCTGAGTGACAACGTGTATCGGACCCCCATTGACAGTGTGAAATACACCAGTGTTGTGGATTCCCCAGATGTTGTTCTGGCCAAAACCAACGCTGAACAGATCAGCATTGTAAGTTCCAACCTCCTCAAAGTTGCTTCCACACCAGAAACTAAAGCTAATGGGAAATCTCACTGCTAAGGTATAAAACTGATCAGTGGTGTTTTAAGTTGAATGCTTTTCCAAACGTTTTACTCTTTAGAGATGATAGTTTGGGAGAGATTTATGGGATTTTATGTTACTGATAAGTGAAATTCCATAATTCTGATGATATTATGAAATTTCTGTTTTAACAGCCAAAATATAAAGAAGCCTGGGAAAAGGACAAGACTATGATCCACATCATGCCAGACACACCTGAAATTAACCTAGCCAAGGCTAATGCTGTTAATTACAGCCAGGTATGTT